CATACTGATATCCCGCTGCAATGCGCGGGGGGTATCATTGAGTATTCTTGATGGTGTTACCAAGGTGTGGTACGACATACATACTTGGCTGACAAGAAACACCAGCACGCCCTCCCCGCAACGTGGCGAGCCACATCAACATAACTTTATAGCCATATTGTTTCACATCGGACATTATATGTGCGAATGTCTGCGCGATAGCTCATGGGCGCGATGCAATTTGCACCCGACGATGGGTAGCATGCAGTTTGTGATCCCTTATAATGCATGTACGTTCAGTGATCATTGCATGCCAAGCCTAGGGAGGGCAGGTTTGCTCCCTAGTCCAGTCCTACCTTATAGGGAGGGAAACTTTTGGTTCCTGGGTACCTATGTACCTTATATGGGAAAGCAAATTAGCACACTACAAAAAATATGACAACTAGTGACCTTCTGTCAGTGACCCTGGAAGAATTGGTCATAGATCTATCACCATTTCAGACCAATTGGTCAAAAGCTGTTCGGGGGGCTCCAAACCCTAAACTATAACGACCATGTTGGTCAGAAAGGTCGTAATTTCTTTACACGAAATGGTCATAAAGCAGATAGCACTGGTCCGCTGCCTTATTTCTAGCTGATCATGACCAATATAGATGATCATAACCTTGTAAATTGTGGTGGGTTGCTATGACTAAGCGCCACCTCATCAGTTTTGCCTATGTGTCATGTCCATGTGGCAGTTTTTGCCCTAGGTTGTGAAGCAACCTATATTTCTGTCATTCCCAAAATTCCCAAAAAAATCTCATAATTCTTTGGGTCATATCTGCATCAAATATGTAAAAAACCTTCCTTGCCTAGTTCAAAAATATTTCAAAAATATTCATTTTCCTATTCTGTTCAGAAAAACACTTTGTGAAGGAAGTACCATTTTGGCATGTCCAAATGGTATCCATTTTCTACAGTGCTTTCCTATGCCCAAATAACCATCCTCCACCAAATGCTAGTTCAATCCACTCATTATTTTGAGCCCAGCTTCAACATTCTTATTTATGTCCAGTGTGGTACTTTGCAAAGCAAGTACCACCTAGGCTCCTCCTTTTGAGCTGAAAATTTGTGAAGACGGTCTTCTTAGTAACTGATCATCCTCAGCCAAAACTCACGCCCATTAGCCATGTGCATTTCCCATACCGCAAATTAAACACTTGGCTGCTTATTCATGTTTGAGCATCGATCGGTCTCCTCGTGAGAATCTTATGTTGTGATTTTCTTCCTAGCACCTACCTGGGGAGTGCCCAACCCACTAGACCTTCCTAGGCCGCCCAGAACACATGGCAACGCCACGGTCACGCAGTGACCACGCGGCGGGCATGCGAGTTTACACGCTCTAGAGTTGGGGCCCTCGGCCACTGTCCAAACCTCGACGCATCGCCACCAAACCATGTATTTATGATTAAATAGGTACTTATGTAACTATAAATGATTTTTGGAAAAAATAAATAACAAACTATGAGGCAGATGCAGTTCAAATTTGACCCGCTTCCAACTGAATCGGTGAGAATTTGTCTTTTTCACCAGAGGTGGATCAAAAAATTTAACACCCAACCATTTTGTAAATTGTGCATTAAATATGGCCTAATATTTTAGAAAATTGATTTGGTCCAATTTTGCAACAAATATATGGTAGGTCCTTCACAAAAAAACTCATTTTAGGCACTCGGAAAATGGAAAATGAATTTTCCATGCAAAGAAAATGAAAACTCCCTTAGACAACATTGTTTGGAATTCCAAGATGCACCTTTGTAAACAATATGAGATCATTTGAACAAACTATGCCATGAATGTGACCATAAGATTGATCGTTTGGCTTGAAAGTCATGAATCTTCACGCATGATAGCTCATTTCTGAGAACACTTTTCTAAAATAATTGTCGTATTACAAGTTTATTATTTTTCCTGGAAACTTGGTCACATATAATGACACAATGCTTAGTTGTTGTATTGGTTCTGTTGTTGTATGGGGATATATGCATAGATATGTAACATGTGGGTTCCAAGCATGCTTCCGAGAAAAAGTAAAATTATATATCCAATTTAAAAATTATACATCTGTCGTTCTTGTGGAATGCAAGTTATTTTAGGTAGTAAGAGTGTGCAGGGCAGGTCATCAAGTGCACGACTGCTAGTTTGCTTACTAGCTCTGTTCTATTGGGATATGTATATGTATGTGTGGATTTTAAGCATGGTTCCTATAGATGTGATAAGTGCATCCCATTGCAACTCCTCTTTGTCTGGTATTATAAGGCCATTTGATTGAATGCTTGAAGTGAATGTGCTTCTAAGTCTCATGTAGTTTCAGAAACACATGCATTTATCCATTTCTTTGTCTGCTCTTGTGAGCCCTTCCCATTGGGAAACTTGTCTAGCTACCCATATCATTTGATGAACTATACTATTATCCACTGCTTTTAATCAGCTGATGATGCATATTCAGTTTGGCTGATTTTGTTACATACATACATACATGGCTTTGTTTTGGTCTGGCAACTCAACTGTAATGCCATTGTTGCTGCTCTGTAGAACTTCTGTATGTTTAGAGCATGCATCCTAATTGTCAATCTCGAGTCTGCACTTCTGTATGTTTTGATGTCAAACACTTATGCATGACTAATTGTTAAGTCGATACAATTTCTTTAGTAGACAAGCTTGGAAACTTAGACTACAGACTGTTAAACTGCTACTGATTTAGACTACAAATTTTTTAATCTTAGACTACTGGTTTATCTATGTTTCATATCATGGATTTGACCTGTACCATGCATTACACATGTGTTGATACAATCATATAGCTTATCTGATCAAACAATCTGTTCATGTTATCTTTACCTACTTCTCTATACCTTACCAAAACAAAAATAATTCTAACTAGGAGTACTTTTTTTGTTCAGATTCTGTATTTACTACTGCTCACATATTGTCGTGATTTACTTTTTGTACTGAATAGATCTTTCTGATATTCACAGGTTTTAGCGATCAACCATAGCTCTTTCATCAAAGGTGCATGGTGCAACCGAGGACAAGCACTTCATGTCCAACCAAAGTGCATGGTGCTTGCAATTGACGAACATGAGGTCTATTAAATTTGAAGTTCAAAGCCGGATAGACCTACTTAGCAAAGAGTCGTCTCTTTTGTTTGACTGTAATAGACTGTAAATATTGTTATATTGTAATAGTAGGCATATTTGGGTTATAATAGACTATGTACAGATTGTAGTAGACTTAGTTAGTGTTATTTGATGAACTACATTTGTACTGTTCCGTTTGAAATATTGATTATGTATGTGATTTGAAAATGTGTGGAATGGAAACCTGACTTGTGGGACCCACTTATGAGAATAATCTGGGCAATTTTGAATTTTCTGTCAAGTGGGCCTAATGTGTGAGAAGATGACAAATGGGACCAGCCCCAAAATATAATGGCCCAAACAATTTTACAAGGCCTCGGCCCAGAAATAAATAAAAGGCTGAAATGAAAAAACAATAAATGGGCTGAATTAATGGGCTCGGCCCATATAAATACCGAATTGGACCGGGCTGATTCTTGTGCCACATTAGATTGCCACGTCGGATGCCTACATGGCATGGGGAGGCTGCTAGTGACCAAAACAAAACAGTAGGCATATTTTGGTTGTAAACGTCTACGACCTTCTCACAGAGAAGGTCGTTAATTTTAGTTTACGACTGCCAGCTTTTGACCATTTGTTTTTTGTCACAAAAAGGTCACAAATGGAAAATAATGACCATTCAGTGATCAATAGTCAAGATCACAAGTTGACATATTTCTTGTAGTGGCAATTCAACAAAAGGTCAAAAGTTTCTAAAAATATTTTTGAAATAAACTTGACCTTTCATTGTACTAGTGAGAAAAGTTCGACAGAAAGAAAATTCCTCTTTGACTTCTTTTCAAAAAAGACAATTTTTTGGTCAAAATAGCATGAATAGTGACCTATAATAGCAAATAAATTTTGTCTTTTTCGTTGTGAAGTCAACGTAGGTTTTTTTTTGTGAAAATTTATATACTAGTGTGCAAGTAAGTCAAGTTTAATCTAAAAATACTTTTGAAGTACTTTGACTTTTTGTTTAATTATTAAAAAAATACCCCATATAGGGTGTATATACATGCGAGAGCCAAAGGGTATTTCCCTACCATATAGTCCATTCGTTCCAGTACGGAGTGTTAGGGTTTGCTAGGAAGCCGTTGACAAACAGTTGCACTATGATGATGTAAATCTTGATACAAATCATGACCACAAGTTATTCGAAATCTATGAATCTAGTAACATCAACTTCATGTCACATAAAGCACATAATAATAATGGAGTAATTGCTGATCAAACGGTTGTATCAAATCATTAGACGGTTGGTAATTTGGAACGGAGGGTGTACATATGTATGGTTTGACTCTGTCAAGCCACACCGTCCAGTCGTCCAACTCAGCTTCATCTCCAATTAATCATCTATCCTTTTCACTGTCCATATCAGTGCCAGCACATACTATCATGGATAAAAAATGCAAACCTACGTAATGTGTTACGTAAAACCTACGTTTCTTTCCTTTCTCAACCAATCATCTCCCACCTGAATTTCGCGGGGTGGGTCTGGGTCCTTTTTTCTTCCAATCAAAACAGGCCAAGTCAGCGCGTACATAAGTTTCGTAAGAATTTTTAAGTAGGTGTAGCAAAACTCATCATGGATAGTACAAATGTAACTTTGCGACCATCTCCACCGAGCACCGATCCAGACAAGGACATCCTTACGCGGGCACCCGGCCGGCTCTTCTTGGGCGATCAAAACAAGACGCTGTACGTGTTTGTGTGAGTGAGATGCTGTTGTTTGACGACCAGATCAGCGCCAGCCTGCTAGCTCGCTCTATATGTATCCTTCCGGTCAAGTGATCAGCCACCATTGCAGCAGCAGAAGCTCGTAGCTCGCAAGATCACGTACATCTGTGCCGATCGTCAACAATGGCGTCCTCGCGCCGCGCCTTGCCCGTGGCGACCCTGGCCCTCCGGGTCCTCGCGCTGCTCCTCCTCGCGGCCTCCATCATCATCATCGCCACCGCTGAACTCCAGGACAGCATCTTCGAGCCGCAAGGCATCATCACGTTCAAAGATATATACGCGTACCAGTAAGAAAGATCCACCAAACTAAATCTCCGTTCTGGCCGGCCGGCGACGGCATCTCAAATTGTCAATACATGTTCGACTGTCAGGTATGTGCTGGCCGTGGGTGTCATCGGGTGCGCCTACAATCTGGTGGCGGCTTTGTTCGTGGCGATCAACGTCGCCGGGGGGAGGAAGATGATCGGCGGCGGCGAGGCCGGCACCGTGCTCCTCATCTGCGCCGACGTCGTAAGTATCTATCAACTCCAACAAGTCCCCTGTACGCTGCCTAGTGGTTTCTCATTTTATTTTTGCCTAAAAAAATGAAGGTGTGCGCTGTGCTGGTCGCCACGGGAGGGGCGGCGGGCTTGGGTATAACGGTGGAGGCCCAGCGGCAGATTGGCAAATCCTTGGATTCAGTCTCCAAGACATTCTTCATCAGGGTTGACATCTCCTGCGGCGCGCTGTTGCTCGCATCCCTCTGCCTCGTGTTCATCGTCATGCTATCCTCTTTCTCACTCACCAAGTAGCTAGCATCGGCCTATCTGCTTTAGAAATTTGTTTAAATTTCTGGTGTGTCCAAGATTGAGGGTTTCAGTTCTTATCTGGTGGCCTGCGGATGGGGTGTGGATCTTGCATGATCCCTGGCTGGGCTGTACCTGGCCGTCGTGCTTGCAGTCTGTAAGTAGACTTTGGTAGAACTTGCCTGGCGTAGCTTTTGGTTCTAGTTGGTTGGCTGTAGCGATATTAGACCAGTTGGTTTTATCATATATGAAAAATTGAAAATCGAAGAGGGTGGCCTCTATTTTCATTAGAAAAAACTAATAGCTAGTGATATTGTTTTAGACTTCTTTTTTTTTTGCTGGCCACTGTTTTCAATGACGTAAAAAGGAACCCTTTATAATTTGTATTTTTGAAAGGTACGGTGCGCATTATTTTTCTTTTAAGGAAAGATGTGTGAAATCGTTCCTAGGCGGTAACCTATGGGCACGGCCAATTTCCG